GGCTATATATGTGATTTAAAGCATGTTTTATCATACAAGCAGGAAAACAGGTGCTTGCCATTCTTTTGACCTTCCATTAAACCACGTCAGTAATGTAGATACGTTAAGTACGATGTACCCATAAGTCTGCCAATATTCACTGTACTCCATTGTAAAAAAAAATACTCGCTTTTTAGAAATTATTGTAATTTTGATCACATACAAAAATAAGAATATTTTAGAATAAGCACTTAGGACCATTGAACAGTGAAGGATCCTTTTCGGCCCGCACCTTCTATGACACTGTACCTCGGTTTATGCGGTCTCATCCGAAGAACCGTCCTTCTCGTTCTACAGTGGGATTCGAACTCGCAACCGAAACACCGTCTGCGCCACATAAGAGACCAATTAAATATGAGATATAATAGCATCGTAATCTAATATTGTTTACAAACTTCCTTTACATTTCTCACAAATTTGATTTGATTTGTGAACTTGTGACATTATGTTTTATTGCAAAAGTATTTCTGTAGCTATAATATGGATGAGTAAAGGACTGAACCTACTACAAGTTGTGTCCTTTATGTTGCAAATACTGTCTTTGAATTTAATCTTTGACTTTTAGATCAGGGATTTGTGACAATGCATTTCCAAATAACAATGAAATACACGTACATGTATATACACCCCTACTAATGTGTTCGGAACCTTTTTTTTCGGTGTTCTACAAATTATAAAACCCGATGAGTTCAGAGTAGCTCTGGCAGTGGCTCTGGCGAGAGTTCGCGAGACTACAGCGAGATAGGGTAAATTATTCACGGAAATGGGCTAGGAAGTGACTAGCACGTGGAGACATGGTAAACAGAAAAGTTATGTTGCGTTTTAGTTTTCACCACCCTATAATACTATAGTATCATTCTGTAGAAATGTACTTCAAGTGATCTCTCTTGAATTCATTCATTTAAATTATAAGTATTTTCTATGACACAATTTTCTGCTATCTTGAATTAAAATTTCTTTTTTGACAAATGTTTTTGCATGGGAACAGGGACTATATTTTTGGCGTCAGATTAGCAAATAAGGCACCAATGTGACTTTAACTGACCAATCAGCTGAATGAGAATTGCATCATGGGTTACTACGAATACTACAGGAATTTTACGCTAGATAAATTCCTTTATTGTACTATCGGTGAATACAATTGTCAGGTTGATTCTCTGGCCAAAACACGTGACCACGAGTATAGTTACATTATGTTAGAAATGTTTTGTCCATTTAAATGCATATGAGAAGCTGCTAAAACGTTTCCAGATATATTACCCTTGAAGTGCTGGCTAATTATGAACAAATTCGTTGCAATACGTGTTTTACATAAGCGGGAGTTCTCTAACTCTCTCTCTTTAACTCTCTCTCTCACCTAAAAACTATTTTGTCAATTATAACATAACGACACGTGAATATTCATCGTCAATCTAACTACATATCATTTTATTAAACATTTTTTTCTAGTTAACAACAAATCAAAAACGCCCGTGACATCTTTCATAGTTTCTAATCATTCTAATTATGCATTTTGTTCATAAGAACATTTTTTTTTATTTTGCACTCCACTGAAGACATGACACTAACTACATATCATTTTATTAAACATAGATTGACCTGAACCACGCATTTTGTTCATAAGAAAGTGAAATGTGAACATGCATTTGGCGTAAACGTATTCAATCAACAAATGGTCAGTTGCTCGTGGTTAGATCCTCTGTGCGCATTAATAGGAATAGCCATATAAGGCAAACAAAGTTTTTTTTTTTTTTTACCGGCGTAGCGGTCGCTAGTGAGCTCTAATTTTTGCCGTAAACTATGATAAGATATATTTTTATTTACCCCCCCCCCCCCCGCCCTTTAGCCCCCCTTTTCTGTTGGAAATCATGAAAGTCTTTCAGAAAGATCTGGAAACACATTTATCACAGGATTTGTTTTTAAAAGAATTAATCAGACTATAGCAATTTCCTGTTTACTGCCAATTTTATTTATAAAACCGGTTCTACCCTATAACCTTCGAATAGGTAAACCTAAACCACGTGTCTTGAATTTAAATCACAATAACAATAGTAGGGGTGATATAGATAACCTACAGTATTCAAGCTCAAAGTCAATTCAAACAAAACAAGTCGGGATAAGAGCAAACACAAACCTAAAAAATAAACATCGGAGACGAGATCGTGTGCCATGCTGTTGTAAACATCCTTTATTGACCGCTCACACACGACTTGTCATGATCGGATAAACGGAAAAAATCCGGAGAAGTTTCAATGTGTAAAGACGTAATAATAATGTCAATGTATTGCCAAATGATAACTTCAAACAAGACTGCAGATATCCTCGTTTCTTGAACTGTTGGTCAATATTTTTTGCGTCAATAAAAAAAGATATGTCGTACGGAGAGCATGTTCTTGCGTAACGAAGTAACTGGGAGATATAAATTCCAAATGCCAGCGATAAAGGTATATTTATTTTTTATTACACACTTAGTAATAAATACAGGATTTTTGTATACGCGATATGCCTGACATCACAATAGCCGTATCAGCCCTGCAGGGCTGATATGGATTTGCAGGGCTGATACGGATCAATATCACACCCCTAGAAAATATTAAACCTCAAAATTCATATTTGTGATCATACACATATATTGGGGTTACATAAATTCTTAATTTTAACTTTACGGATAATCTAATTGACAAATAAAAAGACTATATTTTCAAATTAAGGATCGGGTACATTTGAAATAGAAGTAGAAACAAACCCAAACGTACCGTATGAGACAATAGACCGTGTACATGTAAGAAGTCCGTTCATGTTTATTGACTTTTTTCTTCTCAACTTTATTAATGTATACTGTATTTTATTACTAAGTATGTAATAAACATAATAAAACATACCCTTTTCCACATCACATCCTGTATCAGCCCTCGACCAATATCAGCCCTCGGGCCTTCGGCCTTCTGGCTGATATTGGTGTCTCGGGCTGATACAGGATGTGATATGGAAAAGGGTATGTATTATTCTCTATATATTATACGAGTTCATGATGTTTCTACTACTTAAAACGACTTTGTCAATTAAGAATATTTTATATGAGTCTAATTTTTAATCAAGCAAGTCGGAGCTCGTTAAGAATATGCTGCATGAAGGGATGCATTCAATTTTAGAATATAAATTTTACAATTTCCAAAATGCCTTACTTATAGAATGTACAAATGTGATTTGGTTGAATATGAGGATGAAGAACCGTAATCAAGCTCAAAAGTCGACTAAAACAAGAACTGAGAACAGAGCAATCACAGACATCTAAAATTATTAGAGAAGTGATAAGGTGATATGGATGAGTAAACATTCACTGTCGACCGGTCACCCTTGCTGTGCGCTCCTTGTCATGATTGGGAAAACAGATAAAATCCGTAGACAATTCAGTGTGTAAAAAATGGCCTCAGAAAAGGTATGAAAAATGTTTATCAACATTATACCTAATGTTTACTTTATACTTTGCTGACAAGGTCATTATACCGACCATAAAACCTGTACACTGATGACTTTAAACAAACCTGTTGATATTCTTCTTTCATCAACTCATTGGTCAATAGCATGCCTTGTTTAAGAAATTGTTCGTACGTAGAGCTTGTTCCTGTGAATCGAATCAACTGGGAGACAAAAAGTCGAACTCAAGGAAGTTTACGATAGAAAAGTTGAAGTCTTCTCGTTTACCATGAAGATTGTTGTTAAGCTACCATTGACGTATTTGACTAGGAAAATATCCAAATATGAAACAGCTGTGTCAGAGAGACTCTGTGGGACTTTATTTAAGCTTTTTGATGTATTGAATCAACAAAATGAATGGAAGTAACTATTATTAATTAATAATGCCTTGTCGATACGTATACATAATCATGTATCTAAACGTCGAGCTGAAATCCCATACCAATTGGTTTATTCTTCTCAGAAGCTTTTGAATAAATTCTGCTTCATATAAGTTCAAAAAAGATTTGCTAATATAAATTTTGCGCAATTGGTTTTTCGAGATTTAAACTATATTGCTCATTGTGCATCCTCCCAATGGCAAATATGAAACCTAAATCTGAAACGGTTAATGTTTCTTTATCATTATTGTAATAGGATTATAAAAAAAAATCGTAGAACTTAAAAGAAATTTGAAAACACGAATTATTCTGATATCAATAGCATCAAAGCATGAATTTTCAATAATGAATAACCATTCCTCATGATATATTAAAGACCAAACTTCTTGTTATCTTGCAGATTACAATATCTCTATAAAAGTAAAGCTTGGGAATTTTTTCGATCTTTATCAAAAACATAGTATGTTGCAAATGCAAATTATCTCTCTAAATGCTATTTTTTCTCACAATAAAATAACATTTTCTGTATGGTCATAATTTCTCCTATTGGAATAAATATTAAGAATTTGGACAGGTTTTTTTTTTTTCAAACACAGCCATCAATAAGTGAGCAGTATATGTTTTGAAATCTTTTGGGAATAAATCTTCCGATATTTCTTGAGAATCCACGTGGTCAAAAATTTCTACATAAAAAAAAATGTCTCTCTGCTTCGCAGAGATAATTGTATGCATCCACCACACTTCATAAATTAATAATACTATATTTCATTCTTGCAAACAATTTTGCTAAGTCATAAAATAAACAAATAAATAAGATCAAGAGAATCATGTACTAGCTAATATTTGGATCCTTATGTGGCTTTATAAGATATTAAGAGAATTGAATTTAAGGGTTATTTGACGTTATTTTGGTTAGTTGTTCTGATGTACAAGTATTTACAAAATTATTAAAAATTACGACTGTTATCTTTTATTGAATAAGAACTAAATATAAATAAATACAATGATATTAAATACGTTCAATGAGCAAGAATTAAAAGAATACTTTCGATGCTAAATCATGAAATGATATACATGTATATGTTTTACATATAGTTTTATAAATCATGGTGTATAATTAGGAGGAGGTTGCTCATTTAAGCTGACTCTTGCTTTAAACCTTGTAGGTTTTTGTAGCGGACTATACTGTGAGAGCGGAATGTTTTCCACGGACTCTTGGTCCATGGGAACTGGAAGTGTATCGTAATATTCCCGAGGTTTCCGGTAAATAATAGATGGTGTTACTGGGGTGTCTGGAGTAAATAGTCTCCCAGTTTTCATGAAGTTATGAATGTAGACATTGTTTGTGTGAGAAACGTGTTTACTTTTCACATTGTTGTAATGAACATCTCCTGCACCAGGATTTTCTATTGGGAGAGAATCCCCTTTCTCGGGTTTTTCTACTGGAGATTCTCTATGCACTTTTCGGAGTAAATTGGGATAATCCTGCCCTGTGTGATGCGGCTGAAGTCCCCTATATCCACTGTCGTAAGAAAACTCGGAGTACTGAACGTTTGGTTTTGGAACTTTTTTCATTGGCGGAGGTTTAGGATTAATGTTTACTACGGCCACGAGATGAGCGACATCGAGGTTAACCATTGGCGGATTCTCTCGCGGATGTCTCACTGGTTGTCTCTGAAATATACAAATTTCGAATCTGATTTCATGTAAAGGCTTTATTTCACGGCTGAATTATGAAGCCTGTTGGGTAAACTTTCGCCTTTACAACTTTCATAGGTTTCTTTTTCAAAGACATTGTTTCAATTCCCTTTTTCAGTCTCATCTTAAACAAAATGAATACTAGTATTTTCTGCATTACATTTAGTCACGTAGCGTTTGCTGTACATTTACATCCAATTTGAAAATGATAATTCAAAACTAAAGCTTAGAAGGGAAAAGAATTTGCTTTATGTTTAAGGTATACCTTATAAGGTTTGTTCTCTTGTTTGTCTTCGGTGACCCCAACAGGAGCTTTACAACAATGGCGGCAGATGAAGAAAGCGACGGGGATAAGAATGGCCAGTAGTAGAATACAACCCCCTACCACTGCTAGCAGAAACGGGACACTCATTTCACTAGGGGCTGGAAAGAGAAACAGAATTTCACGTCATGGCGGGATTCTGGAGCGCTCATCTAGAATAGGCTAATGTATAAATTAAATTGTACAATTGCATTTATTTTTTATTTTTATAAATACTTTCTAATATAACTTGCCCTACTTAGACTAACTTAGTCTAAAAGGGGATTATTAAATACATATAATATACTAGTACATGTAATCTCAAATACCAAAAAGGAAAAATAGAAATATACTAGAATATTTCATTTCGGGTACGAATCTAAAGTTTCAACCCCTCTCAGAGCACCCTGTGTTTTCAGATCCCACAAGTCTCCAAAATTGGCGATTGCAATTTTTTTAACAAGATAATTCTGTATAAATTATGAACAGTTTTGGATCCAAATAAAACTATGAACTGTCTAAACACTAAAACATATTTCTGGATATTTTTGTTTCGCCAGAAAGCAAAGAAGTGCAGATGCAATTTCCTTTCAATAAAGAATACCATATTCAATCACCATCGAAAGACCAGCACGGGACCTGGTTTTTCAGGATACAGAAGTAATGTCAATCTTACACTGTACCAGCTCGATGCAACGTAAACGAATTTACAATCATTTGTAAGTTGTTTATAGAGCTATATAATCAACATTAACTCCTAATTTGCAGATACCATCTCTCTTGATGATGCAATGAATGGCTGTTTTTTTTTTTTTTTTAAATTTAAATTGCTTCTAAAGGGTGTTAAGAAAGTTCGTTCCACATTTTTATTTAATTTTCAAAAAGAAATACGATGAGAAGATATTTACAATTTGTGATATTTCATGTTTACAGAGTCCATTCTTGCTACTGATAAGGTTTTAACTATCTTTTGTTGAATCAATAAAGGGAGGGCAGGTATTAAAACAGATGATGTTTGTTCAGAAAAATCAGGGATGACGCACATTTGTGAGATATGGTAGGCATACAGGTTAAAACATCCTTTCAAATACTATTCAAAAATTGTCAAATCTTTGAAATAATTCAAAATGACAAACCTATTCTTTTGAAAAGTGATTTATTGCTCTAATACCTGCTCATCAGCTTGTCTGATACAAATAAGCTATGAAGAAAAAAAAAGTAAATTATCCTTTATTTTCACTCAAAATGACCAGCATTTCTATCATTCGGGTGCTTTAAAGATATTATATATTTTTTCATATCGAAGAAAAATTCTATAATTTTCTGCTAGAAATGAATTGCTATAAATCATTTTAAAGCACACTCTTGTGATTTTGTAGACTTGAAAATTCATCTCTTTAGTAAAGCACTACTTTTGAAATTTTTGAAAATATTTCATCCCGGAACGAACTTTCTTAACACCCCTTAAATGAGGGACAGATTTATCTTTCTCAAGAAGGACAACTCTAATAGCAATCTTCAACAAATTATCAGGGGTTAGCTAAAGTACAACAGTTAACAGTAATAAATACGAAAACTTTAAACAGATTGAATCATTCAGAAATTGATGCAAAATTTTTAACAGGATTGCAGAATGGTGCAAGATAAGATAATTCTTGCAAATTTGCCTGATAAAAAGGAGAATATATCTTTGTATTTGCACTTAGTTTATATCATGTTGCTTCCAGAGGCTTTTACCAGTCCTAATGGTTACTTATGAATATTAAATATTATGAATATTTTATATGAGTGTTATTTAAAATCAAAAAGAAGTAAGTTGGTACATTAACGAATATATTAAAGTTGAGAAAGTTAATTTCAATAAAGTCTCCAAAATATTTTAATTATTGAATGTATTAATGTTACTTTGCCCAGAAAATTATCCTATTTTTAGATATCTGAAACTATATATATTTGCAGAAATCGTAATATGTCTAAAATATTGTGACAGTTGTAGCCTTTGTTGAGGGCCGTAGAGAAATAAAAAAGTTTCAAAGAAAAAGACTGGCATAAGTACGAAATAGAAAAGATAGTAATATCCATATATGTCAATCTTGAAAATTTATACTCGAACTTGGTTAATCATATATTTATATGAGTGTTATTTAAAATCAAAAAAAGTAAGTTGGTACATTAACGAATATATTAAAGTTGAGAAAGTTAATTTCAATAAAGTCTCCAAAATATTTTAATTATTGAATGTATTAATGTTACTTTGCCCAGAAAATTATCCTATTTTTAGATATCTGAAACTATATATATTTGCAGAAATCGTAATATGTCTAAAATATTGTGACAGTTGTAGCCTTTGTTGAGGGCCGTAGAGAAATAAAAAAGTTTCAAAGAAAAAGACTGGCATAATTACGAAATAGAAAAGATAGTAATATCCATATGTGTCATTCTTGAAAATTTATACTCGAACTTGGTTAATCATATGATTGATAATTCAAAAATGCGTAAAATGAAGTAAATCATATCAATATTTATTACCGTACAAAGACAAAACACGATTTGAAAAGGTCAAATATTTTTTCTTTATTCAAAATACAGAAATATACGTTTTACAAAATTTCAAAATAACAAATCAATCATTTTTGAAATAATCTACATGTATGAAGAAAGAATCGGATGGTATAAATAAATGAAAAATGCATGTATTTATAGGTCCAACATCTTGTAAGATTCGGTTAGCATATTTATTTCAGTTTTACTCTATTTATACTTTAATTTTTACATAAAAATAATTTTGGTTCAGAAATAAGGAACGATGATTGAAGTAAAATAAAGGGGAAAAAAGACATAATATGTGGAAATGATGAAACATACATAGCAGAAAAACCGTATTCCTTTTAAGTACATGTATAATTAATTATTGTCATTCAAAAATATATAAGTAAAGAAACGCGAGGTTACCGAAGTTCAAAATTGGTGAAAATTTTACTTTGAACGTTCATAAAATGTAAATATCCACTAAATCTCATATTATTGTTTGAAGCTCAGATACTCCATAGGTTTACAAATCTTTTAAAAATAACTAAACAAAGAAATAATGGATGAGCTCCATATAACTGTCATAATGAACTGACTGTGACATAAAATAAATTTTCCCTAAAACCGTAAAAAAAAAGAAATAAAAATCATTAATTCTTCAAAAAATTTGCCTGAAAAAAAACTAAATTAAAAAAGTAAAACAAAAAGCAAAACTGACAAAATGTTCCTGGAAACTCTGGCGTGTATATTTAATAACTCTCAATGTACCAATGAAATGCAGCTTAAATTAAAAAAAATTGTTCACGATTTTTTTTCAAAAAGTTAAGAAAATAGAGTAGATTTTAACCATGTTAATTAAAAATAAATACCTTGCAAACTAAAGTAATCCAAACAAACTGCATCAGCACACGGCGCCGGGGAGACAAAATTACATTTTTTAAAACTGCACTTTTGCTAACTTGCACAAAATGTCAACAAATTAAATCATATTATGGCTTTTCTATTCATGTCAAGATTTTTACAGCCTTTTTTTAATTAAACATAATTGAAATACTCGAGGTTATCAAAATATAATACGTATAAGAACAGCTCGTAAAACTCTGGGTAACCATTATGGTAAGGGGTATATTTTCCACATTAATCTTTAGGTGGGCAAGTTGTGAAAGCGTCACATATATATTAATGAGAAATGCAGGTTGACTAAAAACAAATTAATCTAGCTATTTTGAAAGAAATTGAAATTTTTGTGCACAAAGAAACTGATGTGACAAGGCGTTTGGCACTATCGCTAGGGCTGATTTTAGGCCGCCGTTGAGCTACCATCAGGGTAATGCATTCGTCAAATCTTTATACACAGATCATTTTACGTATTTGTTTTGCATTTGGAGTTACCACCTGTCTAGATAGACTTGTTCTTATTGTGAGTAATGTCTCCAAATAGCCAGTCGTATTTCTAATTTTTGACGCTTTTTTTCAATGCGGTTATCTAATTGTCAGTACCCTTTATTCGAGTCAATGTCATATTCAATTCATCAGAGCAGCGATAACTAAGTCACCTTTTTGTGTAATTTACTATGCAGACTTAAAATAAGATTCGGTAGCAAATGCTTGTTAAAAGTCATATTTCAGAATAAGGACCAGTCAGATTATCAAAGAAAAGATACTACTATATTTTATATAGTATGTATATATATATTATATTCGCCATTTTAAATATCTGCAAAAAGAATCAGCTTTGAAAAAAAGAACCATGAAATGTACATATTGATTTATCAACGAATGTATCCGTATAAAAAAGGGAATCACCGTTAATGCTGATTTAAAAAGTTTTACCGGCGACGCGTAAGCGGAGCCGGTAAAACATGTTTGCGATCGTTAAATCAGCATGCAAATACCAAATTAAAAGTTTGTTATTCCCATTCTAATGCAATCCATGCATTTTGTTTGTTGTTTACGTCTTATTTTGTTGAATTTTGTTACATGAAATACGTCACGGAGCATTGCATTTTTGCGTCGCTCTATTATGACGTCACAATGAAAAAGCTTTCACGCTCGTTAATGCTCGTTTTACTGTGTGTTTTACAAAACAATTGCATTAGAATATGATCATTATTGGTTATGTATGATTGAGTTGGTGTGTGTACATGCATAAGTCTCACGTATATGTATCTTTACAAACAAGTAAATCATGGTTTCCGCTAGGTTTAGGGCGGGTAAAAAAGGAGGCAATGTTAGACATAATATATACACTTCAAAAAGTTAAACAAAAAAGATTTTTCAATTATCATGAAAATAAATTTGGCCATGCATGCAAAAAATTAAAGTCAGTAAAATTTGCTCTTGACTATTATCCCGGTTCTTAGCATTAGGTTAACCGTTCTGTATAAATTTTGGTGATGCTACTGCAAGACAGTTATGCATAAATTTATGAATTAAATTATTTATTTCATATTCAGATATTTTACTCGAAAATACGTTATATAATTGTAATCTAACAACAAAGCTTTATGATATACAGACTTTCCAATAGTCAATTGTGAACTTCCCTTACATATGAGCAGCAATTAATTTTTATCACGAGCATAAGGGATGTATATCTCTCAGTAAATTACATACCAAGAGCATTCTCTACGCATTAACAATTTCTAAAAGGAATAAGTTATTGACAAAGAAGCTGAGGAAACAAGAATATCAGATGTCTTCTTTAAAGTTATCATTTCGTGAGCTCAATGACAATGACCTTGTCAGCAAATACAATCTGTCAATTACTTTTGTTTTTCACACTAACTGTTAGGCCGTTAATTACACACTGAATTGACGACGGATTTTTCCGTTATTTTCCTATCATGACGAGGAGCACCCGACGAGTGTGACCAGTCGACAGAGTATATACTCACTCCTCCATGGCACCCGATCCCACCTCTGATGTTTTAGAGGTCCGTCAACATGTTTATCATAAAGCTAAAATGTTGTTAGATAACCATTAGCGTCTTTTCTAGTAAAATATCAAAATATGAAATATATGTGTCAGACTCTGTGGTATCTTTTATTTCAAGCTCAATGGGATAATATCGTGTCAACATAAGAATGGAAATAACCATTGTTAATTAACAATATACGTCGTCGATTATATCTAATTGTCGAGTACTGTATAGCAGGTTAATACTGCGGTCGGAAAAGATCGCGATTTGTTCAATTTTCAGCAAATCGCGGTCGTTTGAATTCGCGGAAAAGGAAAAACCATAATTTTTTTAAACAGTACTTGCAAGCATTTTTCTGTAGGTATATATTGTGTGAACTGCTATTTCCCGTCTCTATAGTATATTACGAAAGTCTGTAATGTATATCGCGCATATCAGACAGAAAAGTAAAGTCTATATACTGTGTCGATTTTGATCCCGATTGAATAATAACTAAACACCGGACTGATCCCGAATTGAAGTCAAATTAATGCTACGCATTTATTTTTTTTTTATTTCCGGGTCCAAATCAGAAAAAAATTATACCGTACTAAAAATGTTGAACTTTTAATCATATAATTGAAATCAATTAATTGTCGTTACCCTGTTTACTAAGTAAATGCCTTGATTAAAGGTAATGACTGAGTGATACGCACAAGCATGTTTTATTAAATAATCACATTCAAGTCTACTAGATGGCAAAATTAATCGTTATCTATAGAAATGAATTAAACAATAAGCTTTAAAAACAGCAACAACTACGTGTTTGTAATTGATCCAGACACTCGCATAATTATAAAGACAATCTACATCTAATCACAGAAAATAATTAGATTTCAATTTATCCTTATAAAACTTTTTAAGAATTATTCACTGTATGTTGAATTCGCGGAATTTCTTTTTCCGCGAATATAGCGAAAATTAACTCCGCGAGTTAATTTCCTGCTGTACAGTAGCAGGCCACAGAATGTGTTTTCTTTTTTTATGAAAAAGACTTTGAACAAATTCTGCTTCATATAAATATAAAGATAGGTCTGCTTGGTACGATGAATTCTGGATGAACACACACTGGATTCTTTTTTAACAACTAAACCTTACAACTGGCATAACTTTACAGAAATATTACTGTGACTGATTGTGACTCCCACTGCAGTGAGGTCTTTATTTTATTGGTACCTGGTGTTTGTGTGGTGTGGTTTGAGGGAGTTGTAGGTGGAGTCCTGGTGGTTGTTGTGGGTTTCGTGGTGGCGGTGCTCTGCGTTGGTGTGGTGGTGGTGGTGGTGGTCGATGATGTCGTTGGTTTACTTGTTGTTGTTGTTGTTGTTGTTGCTGTCGTAGTGGTAGGTCTAGTTGATGAAGTTGTTGTCGTTGTTGTTGGGGCTGGAGTCGTTGTTGTCGTTGTTGTCGTAGTTGTTGATGAACTAGTTGATGTGCTTGTTGTAGGAGTAGAACCTTTAGTGGCTGAGGAGAAAGGAATTAGATCATAATATTCAGTATACGTTTAGCATTAAGATCAATTGTGAATTCATTCACAGTATCTCTAGTCTTTTAATAACCTTTAAATTATTGAAAATGATTTGGTTAGAAATTCAATTGATACGAATAAATTTATTTATATTGATATTTCCATCGTATATACTTAGAGCTACAGTAGAATCTGTGACAAATGGTTGGCTCCACTTTCCTACGCCAGCCTCATTTTTTGCGCGTATGACAATATTGTACGAGGTTCCAGGGCTGAGACCAGTTATGGTGTACGTGGTGGTGTCCTCGCCCGTCACTGATTTCTGAACTACTGACTGGTCGGGACGTTGGTAGAGAATACTGCAATGAAATATGAATAATATTACTGAATGAATATTTAGTACCATGAAAATATAAATTTTGTATTGTATTCTGATGAATTGGTGTGTCATAAGTAATTGTTTTCGGAGTTTGCAAAGTTAACATTTGATTTAAATTTTTAAATTGTGGGTAGTTCATTATATGCAATTCCATTACTCACTCATAACCGGTGACGTTGCCGCATCTGTGGTAGATACTTAGTTTACTCCATTCGACTGTTAGTGACGTCAAAGTCTTACTGGTCACGTGGATTCGAGGAAAGTCGTCTGGGGCTGAATAAAACATATCACTGTATTATCAAATATGAAGTACAAAGTTACTTCCACCGGCATTTGACGTTGAAGAAAATTATTTAAAAAAATATTCCCATACTTTAATAATAACCTTGATTTTATTATAGGATGGAAATATTTTTTCCAATAAAGAAAAAGGTTAAAAACGTCAAGTGACTGTGGTTACATCATTGCAATATGTATGTACTCTTAAAAGCGATTAACACAACAAATCTATGGCAGTTTAAAATAGCAATGGTATATTCTTATCATTTTAGAAGGTTTGGGGGTATATAGTTTTTGCCTTGTCCGTCCGCCTAGCTGTTTGTTAGTCTGTGTGTCTGTTTGTTTGCAAAAACTCTAACTTTGCTCATAATTTGTTATCAATTGGAGCCATTTAATTAATATTTCAATTCATATGCTTAGTCCTCGTGTCTGGACCCTTATTTGGGTATGAATATATTTAAACTATTGACCTTGGAGTTTGACAAACTTTTGTTAAAAAAATATCATATTTTAAACCCAGCCATATCTTTAGTGCAGCTTTTGCTGCGGACTTCATGTGTCCTAGTATATATTCATTGTGACAAAACTTGCCTTGGGTGTCAATATTTTTTAATCTTTTGACCTTGACATACTAAATTATGAAATTTTCACCGTAGCCATGGCTTTTGTGCAGTTTTTGTTGCTGTGGCTTTCATACGTCAAACGTATATTCATTGTGACAAGACCTTTCCTTGGGTATTTAGAGTTTTAACTTTTTGACTTTGGCCCACTAAAAAAAACTTTAACCTTGGCCTTATCTTTTGATTGGTTAGCACTACGTCTTCCATATTTCACAGGATTATCCTTGTAACAGGATATGTACACTCCTTTCGATATCAACAATTTTGACCTTTGACTTCGAGTTTAACCCACTTAAAAAGCCCTTAACTTTGTAAAACGCCTTTTCTCCGAGCATCATTAATTTTGAATTTGAAGTATGATTCAATTTTTAAAAAAATTAGTCTTGGCCACAAATTGTGAACGGCTGATTCATATTTCACAGGTAAATTCAGTGATAAAAGTCCTTTCTTTAATTCGAACTATTTTGATGTCTTGCATGACATCAAGCTTGGAGTTTGACTTGCATTTGAGAAACTTAAACTTAAACATTCACCACAGGCTGCCATCAGGGGGTATCACTTTACACAAACATATCTTGTTAATTTTTTCTCTCATAATTTTGTAATTATCATATTTAAATAAATAACACTGATTATTATGTTAGGTATAAACATGATAATAATGAGTACAATTAAACTAACTTTTTCGGTTTTAAATTATTAATTGGTTCTTCTCTATGTAATACTTTAAAGACGAAAAAGAGAGTTACTGAACTAGATTCTCAGAATGTTCATATTTGGAGGAGATTTCTCAATCCAGTATCTTGATACTGAACTTTGCATCATAATTCTGGATTTTACTATGTTATTTTTACATAGGCGTCGGAACCGGGGGGGCTTAGCCCCCCCACTTTCTTTCCAAATGTATACTTAGTATAGACTTAGCCCCCCCACTTTTTTTCCAAACATATACTTATTATAAATATCATTACTTTCCACAGACACATGGCTGGTATAGAAAAAAAAAATTATGTTTATGATTTTTGTTGGGAAATTGACAAGGTTTTTTGTATAAAAAAAAATTTTACTTTGAAACAATGTTTTATGACAATTGTACTAACTGTATCAATTTTACTAACACCAGGACAAGGACTTGTAAGTTGTAAAAATTGTTTCTGATCCTTTTGTGTTAAAAATTAAAATATGTTCAGATAAAAACTCTGGATTTATATTCTCACTATTCGATCACCAATTTCTTCTCCAGAAGCAGTTTTATCAAATTTTGCAAAATTCCTGTCCGGAATATTTAACTTTATTTTCAGTGATACTAGTCAATGGATAAAATCGCCGACTCATCCTGGTATGCACTACCTGCACCGTCATAAGATGACTCTAAATTCCAGTGCCAATAAATAAATGATGTACATAATAAGATGTATAATATACACAGGTCGTAAATAATGATCAGGAAAGAAGAAATTGGTGCTTTGACATTGTGGTATATCGCCCCCAATCACAGGAATAAATTATAGATCATTAATAAAAGGGAAAATACAAACATTCCAACAAAATGAACATTCGGGATTGTCTATTTAATGCCCTGGATTCTGTAGGCTGTTGGCAAACAACGAATATAGCAACACATTCAAACGTGCACAATGAAACTGCATTCCTTGAATTTAAAATCAAACTTGCAAATGAAATAAAATCCATGCAATCTCAAATATCATTTATCAGTTATGTTATTTAAAAATTCCGACAAACCATACTTTTAATACTACTAGTACACTGTAGCTCACTAGATATAATTTATGAATGGTTAGCTGAAAACGTTCATAATACTGCAACTTTTAGATATATTAAGTGTGATTACATTAGAATATTCAGCATGAAATAAAACATAAACAAGCATTCTGTGACTAATGTACAAGCAATAATAATCCCCTACCAGCTAGGCTAATCTCGTTCATCTTAAAAGTTAAAAAAGACTCATTCCAAAATGCAAATCTGGTCTATAACTCATCAAAATAGATTCACAAACCAAAAAGCAGCAAAATAATTGCAACAGTTATAGGAGAGAAAATGTTGAAAACAAATCAACTCACCAAGTTTCACTTTTATATAAAACGTAAGACTTCTTGCCTCAAGTGTTTAAAAAAAAGTATGGCTAAAATCTTTGGACAGACAAACAGACTAACAAACCGAGGACAAGGCCACTTATAGTCTCGTCCGATTTCGGGTACCGTTTACATTATCCTAAAGATAAACATTTTAACAACAACATGTAGATGTGGCTGCATTTCATTTCCGGAATTTTTGGTAATTATCAACTTTTCATTTCCGACATTTTTTATTTTTCATTTCCGACATTTTTTTGTTTTCATTTCCGACAATTTTCAAAAACATAAGTAGTACTTTTAGTAACAGATCTTAAGACTTTACTTATGATAAATTTAAAGAAAAAATCATAAATAAATCATTGAAATACAATATCTGAGTTTTGTAAATCTATCAATGACTTGTACATAAGTGTGGTGCTGTCACTGACATTTAATTTAATGCATATTAGATGTGGTGAAAAAGTTTATGCTCATTGAACTCTTTTACCTAGACTTATTGCTCAAGAATGCTTAAATGTGTTGATGTTTTTTTTTTATTTATTTAATTTTTCATCAATATTTTGTAATAAATACTTTTAAAATTCCATTTTCACTTAGAAAACATTGAATTACCGCACAGGTAAATTCCGGAAATGAAAACAAAATTATGTCGGAAATGAAAACAAAAAATGTCGGAAATGAAATAAAAAAATATTTCCGGAAATGAAATGCAGCGGTAGAGGCTGATATATTAGAAAACGTAAGGGTAGAATTAAACTATGAATATTCCTCGATTATTTCTTTTATATAATTTTACTTACTAGAAAAAAATTGAACATCTTAAACATTTCCTCTAACGTGTCTCTGTTTTCCTTCTTCGTACAACTATGGACCCGCTGGGTCATTATTGGTGACATGATTATAGTTAGTATTGAGGACCTCAACCTCTCCCCACATCTGATACTTGTACCAAAATGTTATAAATATTATGAATTCATTGACAATTTACTCTGTGCTATGGGCCAAACATTTGCACTTTATCAGCATGGATTAAACGCATCAGTTGGAATTTTAAAAAGCTCGCATTCAACGGTTAGGCGCAATATAAAAACACACCATTCTTTGTATATTAATTAATATGTAAGAAAACAATGAAAAGGTAACATCATTGTCTTTGTAAAGCTCATTATGTAAACTGTATTTTAGGGGGAATTGATTTAATTGTGCAAGTGGTAATCCATCTAATATCATAATTCCTTTATCAAGAGCAAATTCTTCAATAGTATAGAGGGCAATTGTAAAATGTTTTTTTCCTTTAATTTTCTCCACATTCAAATGAAATTTGACTTATCATTCCTGCAATGGATTCTTAAAGTACATGCAAATTCTTACAAAGTTACATAGCAGGTTCTAATTAATGTTCTACCAAACCATTTTCTATAATTCTCACTAAAACATTAAAAACAATGAAGGAAAAATTTCAAGATTATTATATAGCAATCTACTTTAGAAGTAGTGTAAACCAGATGTGGAAACCGCAAGGAACTTATTGAAAATTTGATATCTCAAAAACTAACAAAATCAAAAAACATCAAAACGTACGAATTGTCATCACTTTATGCAAACATATAAATTTAAGTCCAGGCTTCTTGATATCATAAGCAACTGCTTAAGAAATAGAACTTGTAAATTTCAATATCTTGGTCTTCTGCAGAATAATTTTGTAAGAAATCATTCTGATGGTACTCACAGGAACTCCGTAAAATGACATTTGAGTTTCTGATTGACAATATCTTTATAAGAAGTCTTCCAATAATCGATTGGAATTTCCATGGGTCGTAATTGCACTCCATTATTAACAGACTTATCATTGCATACATATGAAGCAAAACTTCTTCAAAATCTTCTACATAAAAAAGAGTCCATTTTTTATCCTTCAATTCGACATTTAGATTTTATAATATATAATAAATTATACATAATGTACATTAGTTAAACATTATTCTATGCTAAACAAAAAGATGATGAACTCTTTTAATTAATGAAGTTACTTACGTATGCTGGGGACGGTGTATAACACGGACCCCGGTGTGGGCGGTTCCGCACTAGCTGTCAGACCGTTGACGTAGACATTGTAGGTAAATGACGGCGTGACGCTGACAGTCACGCTGTTCTGTTGGAGGTCGGTCACATTAACCCCGAGAAATACCGTGAGAGGTTCCTTAATTTCATAATGGACAGCATACTGAAGTATCCCACAACTGATATCAGATATATCCCAGGATATTTTGATCTTTTTCGGTTCAGTTTGGGATACACGAACACCCGATGGTTTATTATTACAGAAACCTTCAAAACAATATGCCTGATGAAAGTTTTGATTAAAAATGTATATGAGGAGCATTTTATAAAAACTGATCTATAAATGTATTGTTGATAGAGTCCTTTTTCAATTCAAGTCAAAATTGATTCAGGTGTAATAAAAAGCATGAATTTTTTTTTTAATTTTTGTCTTTAATTTACCTGTTTAATTGATGCTGATGGTAGTTAATTATTCAGTTTTTCAGATAATTATTTTTGTTTAATTTGTATTAATTGTGAATCGGTTTCTCTATACATATATACGGTGTAAGTGGTAGTAGACAATGTAATTTCACAGTATCAATTCTTTCTGAAATTGATTATTTAAAAAATAATTGAATACTACGATAAAGTAATTTCATATCACTTGCAACTAAATTCAACTTCGAAGTTTGAATTAAAAATACTTTACATATTATTACCGGTATTTCTCTTTCGTGCGAAGAAAAAACTGTTTCCAGGAAGATTAACGCTATAAAGTCTTTGAATTCCGATATTTTTTTTTATATGTGTATGTTAGTCTCTAGATATGCTAAATATAAAATTAACAAAGTTATTTTTTCTGATGATGAAATATATGGAGAAATAAATTCAAATACTCACCAGAGCAATATTGTAAACAGAGCGAAAAAATAAAAGCTAATGTCAAATCAAGATAAAGGTTTCTGAAATAAGTATTAACCATTCTTCGATTGTCCACATAATATTTCCAACAGATGTCAAAGGGCTCCAGGCTTACTGACTTTTTGACATTTTACACATTCAGTATTTAAAACAGAAACGACATAAATTTCAGGATTGAAATAGGAAAAAAAGCTTTCATTGGATGAGGCCTGCCTACCCTGTTTATTTACGGTATCAAGAGATAAGGACCAAATCATATATGGAAGGTCGCCTGAGTAATTTACGATTGTATATTTTAGAAACATTATTCGCATATTAATTAAAACCTACACCCATACTGAGAAATGAACGAAGAACAGGCTTTAGACAAGCCGTGGTCGCTTATTGTGCTGTAGATGACAACGGAGTCATGTTAATTACTGGGGACCCCTATTGGACCATGGCGTTTCTCAGGGCTTTATTGTATGAGGCAATCACGCGCAAATTCTGACAAGACCCTCATCTCGTTGATAAAAGACCGCATCACCGCCAAACAAATCCAAAAATCCGCTGATAATGTCCGATAATCCCATAAACGAACCCTGACGTAAATCAAAATCATGTTCCATTTTAGTGTAATCTGTTGAAGCTACTCTATGAATATCCAGAATTAAGCAAAAGTATAGAATTGAAAAAAAAAGATCTAGAAAAAAAACTATCCACATATTGTATCTTGTTTTATTCTTTTGAATCGTAAAAGAGGGGATAATTAGATTAAAATACTTATACCCCATTTCCACATTTACTTGTAAAAACTGCTTTTAAAGTTATTGCAATAAAAGTTCTCTTATGGAATCAACCTGCAGTATCTTATCTCTGGTGTAAACTTGCACAATCATTGCAAACTAGGATCAAGGTGACTTTGTTTCTCCTAAACTGAATTCATCGCTCAGCATAAAACATTCCATTCAGTTAAATGTTTGAACAAATGTGACTCTTGACACTTTATAAACTACATGTTTCTTTCACCCCATAAACTGTAGAGTTTAACGAATTCCTATCACACTATCGGACAAAAATCCACGATTCCAAACCAAGGACCCCATATTCGGCTGGGAATGTTTGTCCAGAAAAAATAAATCACATGGTACCTTTTCCTGGTCTTTTATTGGATAATTTCTCCCCTTCAAGCACATTCCATACCTGCAAGCAAGTCCAAATGTCCACCGTTCTTTAATTTATGAACTTTTTGCAATAATTTTCTAACGTAAAGCACGGAAAACTTTAATTCCGTAAGGAGGTCCTAGTTTGTTTAAAAAATTTACCATTCACACCTTGGAAATTTTAGATGAAGCATTAAGACACTTGTAAATAATCATTTTAATGGTCTCAAAAATACAAATGATATTCTTCGAGATCTCAAGGAAGCATTTTGTTTGTTTATTGTTAAAGCTGATCCAGGAAGAGGATTACCACTTTCTAAAGCATCGTCCTTGTACATGCTTATTTCATCAAATCGATAAACACATCCTTAATTTAAATGGACTTTCAAAATCCTAAATAATACGAAGCAATACTCATTTAAAGGAAGAATACAATATCAACACTATTTGACCATCACGAAAGCGTAAAATCTGAAAAAAAATCTTGCAGAATTCAGGGAAAAAATAAAATAGATCTCCGAAATATTTTTGGTCGCTCTATCTTCCTCAGTAAAGATATGATATGGAATTGTCCCTGGAAAGTTACTGAAACCGAACTTTAAGTTTTGACTGTGAACTTTCCATCCCTCCGTACGAGGCGGAGATTTTAAGAACGATATAATTAATGCTTTTTCTGTATATACTCGTACATGTACTGTTCTTAGAAATAGTCGATATTTTTTTACGACACATTAATATAAAATATTGGATTAATAACATAAAATATATTTCATTTTATTTTTTTTGCTTTTTTTTAATGTCAATACCCTGTACTTTTTAATGATACATGCAGTTTTCAAGGACAACCTGTTATTTATTTAATATACTTCCTGTTGCCTGATGACGTAAAAAATTATTGATGTTGAAAATAGAAATCAAATTTAAGCAGTGTGTAAGTAAGCTTTTGTTGAATTTGGTGATATATATTTGACCAATTTTTGTTTCACTGTCTACTTTGCAAAGTGGTACTAAAAAGAATTCAGTAAGACAAAAGTGTTTATATGCCTTGTAAAAAAAAAATTAACAGATCGAGGCAGACTTGGATATTTGATCAGTAAGAAAAACATTAAATTAGAAAATGGTGTTACATTCCTAGTAATATCAGCTCTCTTCCTCTGCCAAATTCCTTTCCATTTTTCAATATTTTGTTCTATATGAATCAACAAAACCCATTAGCAATCGACCATTAGTATACAAGGAGAACGGAAGGGAATACATAAAAAAGACTGTTAATGAAACTATAATCTAGAAATAAACAAATATTGCTCGTTGATAAAGAAAAATAGACTCAATATCTAAATGTTTCTTTTTAAAGATGTATTGAACAAAAAAGGCACATCACAAAACAATTTTTAAAAATTTCTGATAACACTATATGACCAAATAGGTCCCATTATATGGCCTTATTCATGGATCCAATGGGTATGTACTTCAAAATTTCGATAAAAGTTTGACTGTCCATTTAAAGACTTTTATGTTCGGAGGTGCAGTCTTGAATGTTATTCTCAACTAGTTCAAACAACACTGTCTTGTAAATAAAAAAATGTATCGGTTCAAGATATGTTAGCGCTACTTTTAGTAAAATTTAAATTAAAACTTTGGTGATTATAACCTTTTTTTTCAATTATGTATAATCATGGAAGGTAACAATTATTTTGTATCACTAAACACTCTACACTGAATACATATCAATTATAATGAAGCGTATTGAAGTGGTATATTTATTCGTTTTAGATATGGAACGTTTTGAGCCATCTTTAGCACGTTGATTTTCATATAATGACACATCCATTTCTTATGGGAAAAAACGGTCAAATGATTCATTTGAATACCTGTAGAACAGGTTTCCATAAATACAATAGCCACTCAAAGTGACCGTCTACGTAAACACTTTAAAGTATCAGTCACATTATCCAGCGATGGGGTATACAATGAGAAACCGACGCGTTTTTTGAAAAAAATGGTGTGTTTGCCGACTGGACTTACAAAGGCTCAGCGATGCATTACTAATCATCAAACATGTTCAAGGGTAATCAGCCGATGTATATTACATCAATCATACATTGGTGAACATCGAATCCTTTAGCAATCGGACGGTATGGGCCATGTTTGGCGAATCGGTGGGGATCATCGGTAGAAATTAAGTTGTACCTTAAAAATGATGACCTCATTCAACAGACACTTGACGATGCTTGGCCATACATGGGCTAATTCTTGATAGATGTGTTAATGATGGGTTGCCGATGACGAGCGATGTAGGGCATCGGTGGAGATATTGCCGATTTTAAACTACTACTTATTTTCTACCGATGACCCCATCGATTCGCCAAATGGCCTCAGTCACCGTCAGATTACTGTAGGTGTTCGGCCGGCAACCACGCCGTTTTTTCAAAAAAAAAACGCATTGGTTTCTCATCGCATACCCCATCGCTGGATAATGAGACTGATACTTTAGAAAAGAAAAAAAACTGTCTAATGGTTCATTTGAATACCTGTAGAACCTGTTTCCATAAAATTTTTATACAATAGCCACTCAAATTGACGGTCTACGTAAACACTTTAAAGTATCAGTCACATTATCCAGCGATGGGGTATACAATGAGAAACCGACGCGTTTTTTGAAAAAAATGGAGTGGTTGCCGGCCGGACACCTATAAATATCATTCACATCATCCAGCGATGGCGTGATGAAAAAATGGCGTGGTTGCCGACCGAACACCTTTAGTAATCAGACTGTGACTGAGACCATTTGGCGAATCGGTGGGGTTTATCGGTAGAAAATAAGTTACAGATAAAAATCGGCGATGTCTCCACCGATGCCCCACACCGCTCCTCATCGGCAACCCATCATTAACAGATCTTTCAAGGATAGGCCGATGTATGGCCGAGCATAGTCAAGTGTCCGTTGAATCCGAGGTAACTGGGGGCTTGAGTGGTGGGCAACAGACACCGGCCGATCATCGGTCGATGTTCGACCAAACACTGGCCCACAGTCGACCGACGTACAAACGATGTTCACCAATGTACGTATGAGCGTTTTATGTAGCAATAAATACATCGGCCGCAACCACGCCATTTTTATTACCCTGGTATACCCAACACATCGTTTTATGATAGCAATGCATCGCGATGTGAGCCTACCACCGATTGTACCGGCCGGGAAATGTGACCTAGGCATAAGTC